CGTTAAAGCAAAGCACGACGGAAAACAAAGACGGCGGCGACCGCGAAGCCCCTCCGCCCTTACCGTTGTCGGAATCGGAGTTGTCGGAGCCATCCGTCTTCGCCGCCTTGCTGTCGGGTTCATCGGAGCTGTTTGTTTGCTTCCGCTTCTTGCCAGTGGGATCTTTTTTGATTTTCTTTTTCTGGGGCTGGGAGAGAAGAGAAAATTGAATCCCGGGAATAGGAGCGGGCGCCCTCCGCCACCGGCGACGCTTTATTTTACTCCTTTTTAAGGAGTTAAAGCTTCCCGCGTTAAGTTCCTGATGGGCAGAGCTGATCAGGATGGACACAACCCCCCACACCTCTACCCGCTAACGGAGGAGATGAAGCCGTGAGGCGCCGCAATATTCCCCGACCTTCAGAAAACAAAGAATTTGGGGTTAAAACATCCCACGTTATCAATACTGCCGCGCAACCGAGCGCAGCCGCCTCCGTCTGCTGAGGAAAAAACAGGCTACAAAGCCAGTAACACACAAAATTAATGCGTTATCGCTTCCTGGAATGGATTTTGGAGCCCTTCCTTGCGGGATGCGGGGGTCTGTTGGGAAATAAATCTCCATCCGAGCCGAGGCGGAGGGAGGATCTCGCACTTTCACTTACTTTAAAATCCGAGTCCCACATTTTCCAGTTTCTCCTCATTCGTTGTTTCATCATTCCACCTCCGTAGCGCATATTCCCCGCGAACCCTCGCATTCCCTGGAACATGCCAAGTTCTGGGATAATGTTGTGGGAGAAGAGGGAAGGGAGCCTGGAGGAGCCGTGGGGACCGAGACCCCGCGATCCCATCGATTGCGGAGGCTCATTCCACTGTCCACCCATGCGCCCGGGATAGGAAGACGCCATGGGTCTGTTATTGCGTCCGTCTCTACCCCAATTTTGACCCCGTTGACCAAAATTATCCCGGGCTCTGTTCTGGTATTGATCCCGACGGTTCCCGTAGAAGTTGTCGTAGGGACCTTCGTAGGCGGTATCGTTGTCGTGTTCGGATTCGTTGTAATCGTAGCCGGAGCGGTACATGTCGCGGTCGTTCATGGAAGACCTCGAGTCGTAGGATTCGTACGAGTCGTACCTGCAAGAGAAATGCCGGTGAGACACCACTGAGAAAGGGCAGTGGAGGTTAAGCGACCCC